GGATCATTCAAAATATCCATTAAATATTCATCAAATGATTCTTATGAATTATTATTCATAGAGATGGTGTTCAATGGATCCAAGGATCTTTAGAATCGATAAGATAAGAAGACAAAGAAATCAAGATCCTCTTTAAGAGTTATAATTATATTAATCATAATAAGAGTAATATTAATGTTTGATGGAATAGAAAGACTAATTTGAATAATCATTTATGTGCCTCAATTAAGTCATACTTCAAATTTACAAATAATTACCTTATGAATAATTTATTTATTTATTATATTGGTATATTATTTTTAGGATGAACTGCTGATGTAGACACAATAACTTGTATTTGGAATTTGAGAGTTGGGTCTCTCAGTTGTATTCCACCACTTCACTACTGCATGATGCACTTACTTGCTTGCCTAACATTGGACCCATATCAAAGTGAAAGAGATTCCCAATTGAAAAGCATGTCAAAGGTAATATGGATTTCTTCTCTCAGCTTAACCATCAAAAGACATGCTGTTTAGATCATGAAAGTTGTATTCCCCTTAATCCCAATTAGTTGACCATTCAAGATATGCTGTTTAATTAGTACTCTGATATTATTGTATTGAATGTATGTGTGTTCTTTTGCTCTTTTGTTGGGAAATCTTAAAATAGAAAAAGGCTTCTTTTTTTTTTTGATTCTAATGAATGCTTGATCCATTAAACAACTTGAATAATATTGAACTTCTTGTATAAAAAATTCTCCATCGATTTTTTAGGTTAGTCGATCAGAGAAAATCCATATTTTGAGAAAGCTAAATCACTATCAGTAGTTCAAGATGATATATTATCAATTGTTTGGAGGTGATACAAAATCCATAATTTTTAGTGCTAAGACCTAACTATTTGTGTCAAGATCATGCTTTTAATTAATATTGATCCCACAATCTTGATCATCAATCAACATAAAAAAGGATGGTTTGACTTGGGAACACCTTTTAATTAGGCAACACTATATAAACCCAAAGTATAAAATGCTCGAGTCATGTGATACAATTGGAGTGGATGTGAATGGAACTATATTACTAGAAGGGATACTATCAATGTGTATTGGGCAACAAAGTGGTCCATGAAAACCCTATGTGAACAACTAAAAAAATTGACTCAATCCACATGTACTAAACCTGACCATGGTGACCTTATGTGGATCATGAACAACCCTACCCTACATGGTGTCAAATACCCATCATCTTTTGAATTAATGGGGACCATGATGATCTTTGTATGTAATTTGATGATGATTTAAGGATAATTTTATCATATGAATTTTTGTGCTTGAGTTCGAATCAATAAACATGTCATATTATCCTTGGGTTTTAATTTCTAATGAGATGTCTTGTTTATTGATAATATATATGCATGTCAATGTGAATGAGAGACGTCTTTATTCTATTAACTCAATTCACACACACATACTAAATGCATACGATGCATGTCTAGTTATTAATAGTGTCCACAATTGAGATCATATGTCAATATAGCATCAAAAGAAATAATCCCCTCTTATATCATTTAATATTTCATAATTTTGGTTGTAAATCAAAATTAAACTTTTGTGAGTCATTTTCAACCATAACAAATTGAATCTGACATAATCATTTGATGAATATTGTTAGATTCACCCATAAGAAGAATACGAGACAATATAGGCAAAAGTAGGATATAAGATACAGGCATTCTCTACCCTCAACTTGTAGCAAAGTGTTTGACATATGCCATCTCCTCTCCTTGATGATACACTTTCCGTCATCTGCTCATTAGATCTCCCGCACACAATGTTGTCGTGTAATAAATGAACTCGACTGCGTGCAATGAATCGTATCTAACACGACTGAGATGGCCGACGAAAAGAAGGCACCAAAATCTATTTTAAATTCATTCTAATTATTATTATACGTTAAATATTTAATTAATAAAATGTCTTAATCCAACGGATTTGATGGGCTTGGATCGTCGTCAATATTTCATCCATCACCATCATCCCTAATATTGACGGGCCGCGCGGGCCTTGGCGTGATTCATACGCATTCTCTTCCTCCCGCTTCATCTCTATATATGATCACCTCGCGCTCTCTCTCTCTCTGTCTCTCTTGTTCATAGAATCAAGGAAGGGTTTGATCTTTGGCGGCAACGATGGATCAGGACGGGGTAGCGAAGGCGTTTGTGGACCACTACTACCAGACGTTCGACAGCAACCGGGCGGCGCTCGGCAGGCTTTACCAGGACGGCTCCATGCTCACCTTCGAGGGCGCCAAGATCCAGGGGGCGGCCGCCATTGCCGCCAAGCTCACCTCCCTCCCCCTCCAGCAGTGCGCCCACTCCATCTCCACCATCGACTGCCAGCCCTCCGGCCCTACCGGCGGCATTCTCGTCTTCGTCAGCGGCTCCCTCCAGCTCGGCGGCGAGCAGCATTCCCTCAAATTCAGCCAGGTATTCTCTCTCTTCTCTGCCCCTCTTTTCGTTTCTTCTTTTAGTTATCTTGACCTAGATAAATGAATGCATCTAATGTTGGTAAAAAGTGTTCATGAGTAAGAGGTTGATCGATGAAGATGATCTGATCTAGGATTCGTCTTTATCTCTTCAACCTGATCCGCGTAAGGTTGCCAAATCAACTTTTTTTCCCTTCTTCTTCCTTCCTTTTTCCTGTCGTGAGTTTGTGGTCTTCCACAAGTAGAAGTGCATTGACTGATCTTGACAAGTAATGACCAAGTTGGGTCAAAGAAAGGATCTATATGCAAATATCCTTTCTTTGACTTACTAATGCTGATAAAAATCTCATACAGCAACAAATAGTTCGTATTAGGATCAGATATGATTTAGTTGGTTGAATAGTTTGGCAATGAATACTAAGATGTTTGGTTACGAGATCACATTTGCTCATGATCCTATAAACATGTTCTGGATACACCCTGTTTCTTTTATGTACACTTGATTGGAGTGGTTGTACATGAAGATTTTCTCCACTATGAAGTAGCTAACTACGCATGAGATATGGTTGCATAACTATTTATTCAACGAATTGCCTGACGTTAAATTATGTGTTTTTCCAACATTTACAAACTAGGTTCTGCTCTTAACCTATTTGAATTATCTTCCATCGGTCATCGCAAAATCTTGGTTGGATTTTCTTATTGAGGTTACATTTGATTGGCAAGTAGTGAACACTTAAAACACAGAGATTGTGTAATGGAAGCACATGGAACAAAAGTTTGATAATTCTCTCTTAAATAGATAATTTCTTCAACTTTGTAGTTGGACAATCTGGACAACATGGTACTACTTGCAAAGCTAAATTTACTCTTTTTGCAGGTAGTTTTTTACTTTTTAAAAAAGTTTAAGTGTTTAGAGTTACCAGACTGCGAGATTTGATCGTCCGTTTCTCGGAAGCTTTATGTACAAAACGTACGTCCAATGGCTGCTTACACCTTTTATCCACAATCAATGATGATAGATTGACTGTTTAGCACCTGTTTTCCCATTCCTGGCATTATGTCCATAAGGTCTCAGCAGCACATTAAAGTTGATTTTTTTTAATTTTATATGAAGGCAAAATCTGTCTTGTGAGCTTTGCCTTCAACAAACATATTATTAACATTCATTTCTTTTTTGGCCTAACATATTTTCTGTCAGAGTTCCTTTGAAAGTCGTATATCCATAGAAAATGCACACATTTGTGAGACATTATCTGTTTAGAACACACTTCACATTGATTTATAGTAGTTGTTAAATGCTCAAATAATGTTTGCATAATATTCATAATCAGTCCTTAGATGCTTGCATCTGTGTGTTTGGGATCTATGTTTATCGACCTTGATGTTTTGCTGGATTGCCTAAGCCAACACATGTTGGGATGTTGATAAAAAAGATTGGCGATTTCTTTTTTATAATTCAGAGTTAACTGTTGATGGGGATAATTTATAATTTAATGTCTCATGAGGCCAATGGAAAATGTACATAGCAACATCAATTTCTTTAGCTACTTAATGTGAATTTTGTAAATTGCACGTATCTGTTCTCTTCTGTTGGGTGTGCTGCTGTCTTAAACTGTTGTGTGTGTTTGCTTGGGTACCTAGTAGGAGCAGACATGGTTACTTTCCGTTGGACTGCATACAGTTATAAAATAATATTTCTGTATTATTATAAGCATTGCTAGATGAAGTATATCTCTTCAACTGATGGATACATCATTGTTATTTTTGTCTTTTTCTCTTCATGTTTTATTATAAATAGAACAAGAATCGTTTATTAAGGTCACAATTATTCTTCTTCTCTTTTTGCCCTTTTTCATGTTTCTTAATCAGTGAGTTGTTACTGATTTTGGCCTTAACTCATTTTTGTAGATGTTCCATCTGATGCCAACACCTCAAGGGAGCTTCTACGTGCTGAATGACATATTCCGTCTAAACTATGCCTGATGAGATATTATCCAAACCATCCAAGGTGTGGTGAAACGGATGATAGGAGAGAAACCTGTTCTATGTAAACCACCATTGTTGTCATAGGAAAGAAGATTGTTATCATCCATATTGTTTGGTTTTGTGGGGTTTCTCATCAAGGGTTGAACCTTTTCTTCTAAATCATTAGAAATGAATTTTTGACTGCTTTCTACACATCCTTCACTCCCTTTGGAGGAGGCAGATTGTGTGGCTTTTGTTGTGGATCAGTTATTGTACTCTTGGATTGTGTGACTAGAAAATGCTTTCAAGTTCATAGTATGGCATTTTTTGTGTTGGTGATGCTATTGTGTTTCTCTCATCTTGCTATCATGATGCCCTTTTTTTGTCACTTGAAATTGGAAACCTTTGTATGGACGAATAAGAAGGATATGATTTATTCTCTATGGTTGTAACCCTAATCCCATAAGAACTCCAGATGTAGACTTCTCAACCCAAGACTGGCACCTGAATTCAAGTTGTGTTAGACTGAATGCGACCAGCTTAAATCTATATCAATATCATTTGTTGTATTTTACGATTTATTATATTATTTCATAATTATGTTATTCATGTCGTATTTTAACTTAAAACTGTATCTCTTAAGGATCATAGATCATAAACTGATATCACGTTGACAGACCTGCAGCATCAACTAACCCTTAAGGTGTTGACCAGTCCAGCATCAACCATGCTTGAGCAACTAAAAATACAAGCACAATCGAGATGGTCTAAAAAGGTCAACCATCTAGTTAATTTGCACATTTGATGGTAGGACTCTGACATTTCACCATCTTTGCATGCACACATAACCTGTGAGTAATATACCATGTCAATGGTATCAACTTTTCTGACGCACTTAAGAAACATGTGGTGCATAATTGATAGAATTAGGGCAAGTGTTCTAATTCCACTCTTAGTCAGTGTGAGGGTTCATTTGTTGCTTATGAAACACACAATTTTCTTTCTATGTGGCTGCATAATTCTATGATATTTCCCTTACTGTACCTTAGTCAAGTATCCCACCAGATCAGCTCGTATATATACTGGTCTACAGCAAGATGTCACAAAATTCTATCCTTCCATTATATATATATATATATATATATATATATATATATATATATATA